AATGTTGCTGTTCAGATGGATTTTATCAAACAGGAAATTATAGGCGACGAAGATTGTCTCTATTTAAACGTGTTCACCAACGACATTAATCCTTCAAAGAAACGTGCTGTGATGGTTTCGATACACGCTGGTGGCTTCTATATGGGCTCTGGAAACGCGTCCTTTTACGGTCCCGATTATATCGTTCAAAAGGATGTGGTATTGGTTACGCTAAATTACAGATTAGGCGTTCTAGGTATATTATATTAGTTTAATACCGGTATATTATCATTTATGTTTAGTGCATATCGCATTTGATTTATTTCCTCTCAGAAGGAATTTATCTATGCCGCATCTCTAGAGTTATTTAAATACTTTGTAGATGATGAATTTTTGCGAAATTCAAACTCTCAAAAAATATAAAAAAACCTGAACTAAAATAAATCTTGCACCAATTGTAGTATTCGAAAATAATATGTTAGAAGTTTACTATTAATTTTTATTAAATACAAATAAAAATTTTTTGAATTAAATATATATATATATATGTAGATCAACTAAAAAAATATGACATTTGTTTTATCATTAAAGTTGTACTTTTTGACGCGATTGCAAAATACATTTATAGCACTATTATTCAATCTAATAAATATTAATAAAAATGTTTATAAATATTAATTTAACAATTGTTACATAAAATATATTATCCCTCCCAATTAATATATACTTTTGAAAGATTATTTTCAAGTTTTTTAAAAATTAAAAGAACATATATTCTAAAATGTAATAAATTTTTTTAGGTTTCCTAAATTTATACGATAAAGTGGCAACTGGCAATCAAGGTCTGAAGGACCTGATCATGGCATTAACATGGGTCCAGAAAAATATATCAAAGTTTGGTGGCGATTCAGAAAATGTCACTATCTTTGGCGAAAGCGCCGGTGGAGCCCTTACACATTACTTGACTTTATCGCCATTAAGTGAAGGTGCACGGATTTTTTGATGCATATACAAATTTATCTGGCATTTATTTGATCAGAATTTTGACAGACATTTATTAGAAATTTAAAATTGATTTTTTCTGTGTTCAACAAAAATCTGATTGAGCTACTAGCACGTGTTATAATATAGAAAATTTCACGAATTAAGAGGATATGTAACATATTTTTTCAATTAGTGTCTAATTGATATTACGACAAAATTTCAATTTTGAGTTTATAAAATTATAATTTTTATTTTAACAGTAAAAATATATGTTAAAGTCTAAAATTCGTCTACAAATTAAAACTGATTACTTCGATATTTTCGCTAAGAGAAACAGTCGATTCCAAATTGACGAAAGAAACAACAATTAAAAAGATACAAATTTGTTCTCCAAAATAATCTAAATGTATATTAAAATATATAGTCTAAATATATATTTTTAGAACAACAAATCATACTAAAAGCTAAAAATTCTCGTTCTATTCACAGGCTTATTTCATAAAGCGATATCGCAAAGTGCCAGCGTTACGTGTCCCTGGGCCTTTACCGAACCAGGACCTAGCTCGACGAACAAAGGTTTCCTGCTGGCGAAGATACTTGGAAAAGCGACCGAAGATCCGAAGATCGCCTACGAGTTTCTCAAAACGATCGACGCGAGAAAACTCATAGAGACTGAACGAAAAAATCTCCTGACGGAAGCAGTAAGTGTGCACAGAGGGAATTCTTTTAGAATTTACCCTAAAAATCAAGGTAATTATGGGACAATATAGTTTTGAAAAAATTTTATAAAAGTTGCTCTGTGTGATTAATATTTTTACCACAATAAAAAAATATTTATATTTTATATAAAATATGTTCGATTAATTTTACTATGTACTTATTAACATTTTTTATTGTGATAAAATATTTAATCAAAGAAAGTCATCAAATTCTTCCAATACCATATTGTCCCACGATTTTCAGGATAAATTCTAAGAGAAAATTCTCTTCATGTGATATTTGATTGCAATTATTTCAATACGGAATTACACGCGCGTCTGTCATGGAAGTTTACAAAGATTGAAATAAAATATGTTTATTAATAACACATCTTATTTTTCGCAGGAGCGGCGACAAATTCTCTTCACATGTTCACCCACTCTAGATCACGAATCACCGAATCCAGTCTTTCCGGTAGATCTAGAGACGCTTATACATCGCGGGGTTAAAGTGCCGTATCTTATAGGTTTTAACAGTTCCGAGGGAACTTTTAACCTAAAGAGTGAATTGTTCGGACGTGAGTACACTTATATTTTTACCCTCAACTATACATGTATATTATGCTTCGTACGTAATAATGTAATTTTCGGTCTATTAAAATAATACAACGTTGACATTATACGGGTGACACTTTAAACTTAATATTTTAAAAGCAAATTTTCATTAATAAACGAAGTTGATTATCCTTTAGCAAAAAAAAAAAAAATTAAAATATTAACATAAAATATTATTAAATATTATAAATATTATTGAAATATTATTATTTGTGTGATAACACCTTTAAAATTGTTTCAGATCCTAAGATAACTAAGGAAGATCTCAGCAAGATTAATGCTGATTTCAAAATGGCAGTATTACCAAGAGTTGTAGCTACACTGCCAAAGATACCAATCACATTGTCAGAATTACGATTTTATTATTTTGGTGACAAAGCAATTTCAGAGGAAACACTGCTCGAGTACGCTGATTTCCTCAGCGACGAATTTGCTATACGCGGTATTATGCAAACAGCGGATATTCAGATGAATAACGATAATTCTGAAAAGACTTATCTGTATCAATTCTCATACGAGAGCCCAACTTCCCTCCTGAGGAATATAATCAATAATGATCTTCCAGGTACCGCTAATAAATTTAAGGCCACGCTAATTAATTTAATATAAGAGTCTTTAGTGTTGAAATGTATATACTTATTATATCGTAATTGTAACACTAACAGTATTTCTATAATTATAAAAAAGCGACAGAAGGGAATTTTATTTCCAATATTTTACTACAACAAAATTAAATATCCTTTGTATTAATTTAAATATTTTCCCTAATATTTAAAATTTGAATAAAAATTTTTTAAATTAATTTACGATAATATTTTGCAGGTGTGTCTCACGGCGAGGAACTGTGTTATTTGTTTTATCCTGAAATAATAAAAGAATTGGGCTTATCATTGCCCGCGTCTGATTCGGAGGATTATAAAATGATGAAATGTTTAACGCAGATGTGGACAGATTTTGCTAAAACGGGGTACGCATCACTTGATTCTTACATAATTTTATAGTGTTGTGCATTAATAATTAATTTTTAATTTATTTCCAGGAATCCAACACCTTCGATTACGGATTTAACTCCGATTAAATGGACGCCGTTGAAGCATGGCGGAAATGTATTTGATTATTTAAACATCGATAGCAAACCTCAAATGAAAACATTCCGCAAAGGAGAGGAACGTTGGGATTGGGAGAATGCGAGAAAAAAACTGTGATACTCTGAAAAAAATATCAGCATTAAAATTTTTTTGCATTTGTGATAAATATTCTTTCTATTTTCTGTAAAAATATTTTTTTGTGTTAAAAATTACATATTTATATGAATTGTTTGTAGAGAAAAAAATATTTGCAGTGCGTTTTTTATTTTTGCGAATTCCATTCTTTATTTTCTCTACAAAATTAAAAAATAAATTTTAACAGAAATATCAAGACATTATGTTTTTTTACTGTAATCTATTGAAAATAGACAAGATTTTTTCACAAATTAAGCTTAAGTGTCATTCAATTTTTAATTAAATTTAGATAAATATTAATTGAATGCGCTGAAATGTTATATTGTATAATATCACAGCTAATTAAATATATTATAAAAGATAAATAAAAAAATATAATATTATATTTATAACATTATAGTTATGGTATTAAATTTTGCGTATTTATGTCAGTTATATGATAGTAGGCAGATTTGGCAGAGCTTCCCTTCATGTATGTTGTATACCCCGCGCAGGTAGAAATATTCGTCATCTGACGTGTTGTACTGATTGGTTATTGGATAGAAAGAATCCCTAGAGTTCCAAAAATTTCCTATAATAAGCAGTAGCCAATCAATACATCTGATTTTGTCAGATTATCATGTGCGTGATAAATAGAATTTCCCTTTTTCTTTAAAAAAATTTTAATAATTCTAAAGTCCTCCCCCGGGGAATATCTCACACATTTTTATCTTTAAATTATACACACACACACACACAGGGTGTATTTAAATAAGTGCGACAAATTTTAAGAGATGATTCTTTGTCGAAAATTATAAGGGAGGTTTTTTTTATATAAACATGTACAATATATTCTTATATCTCTCCCTAAAGAGTTACACTTTTCTAAAAAATAAGATAAAAATTAGGTTTTTATATTTTTCTCAAATTTTAGACAAGTTAAAAAAATGGAATTGGTTAATAGTTTCTACTATATATATATATATATATATATATATATATATATATATAATAAAAAAGGATATTTATTAATTAAAAAAAATAAAAACTTAATTTTTATTTTTTTTTCTAAATTTTAATTTAACTTTTAATTTTTATCTCCTCAGGGAAGGATATAAGAGTATACGTTTATATAAAAAATCTCTCTTAATTTTCGACAAAGAATCATCTCCTAAAATTTTTCGCTTATTTAGATACACCTAGTATATTTTAAATATATATTTATATATGTATTTTGTAAGAAAAACAATTAATTTCATACGCGACGAAAGTGTTGCTTTACTATTTTACATTGTAGCAAAAATGTTGTCTATCTAACAGTGAACTAAACACTGATCTCTATATATATATCTCGTTATATATAGAGATCAGTGGAACTAAAGAAACTGCTTGACAATCGGGCAACCAACTTGTCCTAGTACAATCCTGAGAATGGCATTTCTTTCCTATGATGGCATCGCTGCCTTATATCGTAGAGAACAATAACGAGAAGCACGTAGTATGAGCGCATGCGCTTCTTCCGCTACCTTCCATCGTCCAATATCATTCGTTTACTCGTAGTCATTCGTGGATATTCGGTTCTTGCACTTGCTGCGTTAGAATAGAAATCGTTTAACGTTGCGCGAATTATCTTGCGGGAGTGGAAGAGCGGAGCCGATGCAGAAGAAACACTTGCGAAACGTTACGTAAATGCCGGTTTTCCATTGATATTCAATCAACTGGAGTACAAGGTAACGCATACATAAACGATATCGTGCGTGACATTAGCTATGTACGTACATACAGAATACAGACACTCATAGATGACAGTTGCAGACCGCGTGTCGGCCATGAAACTAGTGGCGATCTTCACGTTTTTTTTTTCGTCCCTTACTTCGCCTCGCACACGTGCTTAGACGGCCTCATCATATATTTCGGCAACTAGGATCAAAATTCGCAGTTAAATTAAGTCGCGTTTTCCGAGTGAAAAATTTCCGTTACTAGGGAACGCATTAAAAGTATCGATCTGCTATCGATCTGACCTTCGGCCGACACACGGGACAAACAAGATAATTATTATTTGTATTCGCCCCCGGAGTGATGGTGACGGTTTTATTTATACGGATAACGCGAGAGACGACGAACATTACTTAACGAGTAATATATATATATATATATATTATATATTTCTGCAGATTCTATAGAAGAATAGCGAGATGGATCTGGACGTAATAAGGGATAAGTACATGTCGTATCTGTGGGCGATTCAAAAGGTGCCGGGTGACACCGCGAGCGAGAAGATGAAATGGATCGGAAAAACAGCCGACTGTTCGTTCGAGTGTCCTGAACTGATTAAACATCCCTCATTACAATCTTTAATGAAAGTGGAGATTGCGGTGCGACAGAAGCAAGTCAACGAACTGACGACCGCCCTGAAGTCCGAGGATGCGATGGTGGTAAATCGTGCCCTTAAGGCTAAGTGGTACTTTAATAATAGTTGTGTAGATATACCCGCCGAGTACTTGAGCAAAAACCTCTTCCCTCACCTTTCCGTTAACACGAGGGCACGTGTCGTGAAAAAACTCGCGGATTGTATAACCGATCCACTTGAAGCGGAGATAATGTTGGACGAGTTGCTGAACGATTACTGTATTTATAACGTATGTCCATTAATCGCGGTTTGCGAGGAAGACTTCACGTTGAACATAATAGAAGAATGGAAGCTCGCGCTGCCGGTTAATACTGCTAAAAAGATCTTCCGCAAAAATCCGGACCTTTTGATACATTACTTCAAATTATTGAAACCCGCGACATTGGAGGAGCGCTCTCCCTTCCCGGTCAATATGATGCAATACAGATCTTTCCTGCCGAAATTGGTGAAAACCCGAGTGCACGATTTCGCAGAACTGGTCGAAATGTACGAAACTTTTCCGCTGCCAATTAGTTTGAGCAATACGTGCGCCGAGATATTCTTGAAAAAAGGATTGCAATACTTGCTTAAAAAGCCGCATTTATACATCAATATTTTACCCCTCAAAAAAATTAACGTAGACATATTAGAAAGTATATTTATAGATCTGCTACCCGAGAAAATTTCCGACTGCGACATGAACAAGGTCATACAGTATTTAAAGTACTATCCGGAAAGTAAAAAATACGAATTGCTCCATAAGTCGTACCTGAAGAAATATAACTTCAAATTGCTCAATTACACTAAAAATATAAACGCTGCGTTGTTACAAATATTACCTGAAAAAGAGCGGATCAAGCAAGCTAGAATTAAGATCGAGAGTGAAGCCAAATCAATGAATCATAGCAATGCAATGAATTGTGAAAATACTTGGATCTGTTATTTATCCATAGACGAAGCGATACCGGCTCTTCGGAAAAAAATAAATACAGAAAATTCATCTCATAAACGAGTCAATATCATTCGCGAAATGATTTACGCTTGCAAGATCAACGAGAAGCGCAAGGATAACGATGAGTCGACCAACAAAAAGGATGCAGCAGTCAACGAGAAGGATGCAGCAGCCGAAGAGAAGGATGCGTTAGCCGATACCTTGAAATATTTCTTAGATAGACATAGAAACGAAGAAATTATGGTTTACGAAGGAACAATGCGACAGCTATTGAACTCTTACGATGTGCCTCATTTAAGCAAGGAACGCCACAAAGTCTTGTTCGACATCATAAAATTGTTTTACGTAAAATTCGAACATGTAACGGAGAATATAACCCAGGCTGTGATACATTTCAGACTTATTAATAATATGCCAATCGACGATCTGATTTCCATGTTGATAAAAACAGCCGAGAATGACCACTACGTAAACTTCAATCTACTCATAAAATATCCGCAGTACGAGAGGAAATGTCTCGACAGTTTCGCGAAACATTTTGAAGAAAAATATTTCGATCTCTTGGAAAAACAAAACAAAGAAAATGAGCTCAAGACACTCATATTGTACAATTTTGTCGATTCGATGTACAATTTCAACGACAGATGCGATAGAAAGCGTACGAAGATAGAACGCCTATCGATTAAAGACTATCCTCGTCTACTGAGTATTATACGCGGACTAATTAGCCAAACAACGTCTGTTGAACAGGGTGGTTGTCCATTCACCCGAAGAAAGTGCCAATTAAACCAAGTAAACGTAAAGAACCTATTGAAGATAAAAGAACCGCAATTGGAGATAGAATCGGACTCCGAATCCTCGAAGATCGCGGACGTGTCGACCGTCACGGCGCTCGCTCTATTAAAACGAAACCCTCAAGAAATCCTGGACAATTGGGAAGCTTATTTAACGCAATGCAAGTCGAATTACAGGAACAAAATTACGCAACGTTTTGTCAGAGCTACGCGCTGGTACAAGGACATACCCATCAAATTCGCCGAGCGTTGCATGGAAGAATTGAAAGAGAAGTGTAAGGACACTAAGAAAAATATACTCCCCACCCTGACTATTCTGGCGTTGCTATTTTACGGGAACACGCTGACGAAAATGCTGATGCCCCTGATACCTAAGGAATCGAAGGTCGACGCCAACCATCCGGAAGTCAATGAAAATTACAGGCTCGCGTGTCACATACCGAAGTTGATGATACTTTCCAATCCGCCGGTATCCACCGAACTCATCTGCAACATGTGCGAAGGAGATTACCTGTCGGTAACACTGGGCGCTCTGACGAATGCGAGCAGGCGATATAATTCTTCCAAAGCAGTAGCACTCGCCAACAAATTGTCCACTATGCGCGTAAGCGTGCAAAAGCACGGGATCAGGCTAATGTCTCAGGTAGTACCCGAGAAATCTCTTATATCCTTTTTGAAAGAGATGTGGACGAATAAGACTAATTGCTCGATACGAGAAGTCGTATTCGAAGAAATCCAAAAGATCATGCATCTAATGCCAGTCAAGGATATTAAAAACCTAAACAATATGATGATGGACAAGATACAGCTCAAAGATAAGAAGCTGCTCTGGCTGCTCAAACTTCCCCTCCGTCTGCCTAATTACTACATCTTGGATTACTACAACAAGCGGCTCCAGACAATAGAGAGGCTTCAAGTAGAAGGACTGAACATTGAGGAAGCGAAAGAGCATGTAACCATTTTGATAAGGGAGATGAGCATGTCGTCCGTTTTCAATTTTATCAACGAATGTTTAGTTGGACAAATAATAAAGAAATATTTGTTTGACGTCGATGTTAATTTATCCAAGGCTACGAGAAACTTCTCCCTGTTGTACATTTTCTCGGGGGATAGCCGTAATAATATTAAAGAACGCTGCAAGGTACTCATCGAATCCATCGATCCCATAATGAAGACACAATGGAACAAGACTGATTCTGAGTACCCCTATTTCTTTCCGCACAACAACGCCGTGCATCTACTTATCGAAGATTTCGTCGTCAAGTACGTCACCGAGTTTTACTTTGCCACTGCATCTACCGATATGCAATTACTCGACATTATGCTGGAGTTATTTTCAACCATCTTGGACCCTACGCAAGCCCCGACGCCTTATTTGATGTTGATTTATGCGAAAAAACTACAAGAAGGCAGGGCAACCAATCAACCTTTCGCCTGCATGATCAATCAATATATGCCGGAATTAATCAAGATTTTCTCATCTTCGTTGGTGCAATTCATGGGCAATAGTCTCAATCGTTTTCTGGATCTCACATTTAAAAATAAAGAAGAAATGGAAGAATCGAAATTTGATATCATAGAATATCTTATTATAAGTGACAACAGAGATTCCTGGCTTATGGCAGTGACATTGTTTGTCGTGATGGCATTACCCAACAGTCTGGAGAATCGAGAGAAAAGATTCATCGAGCTTATCAAAATGTTTCGGGAAAGAAAAGACCCTGCTGTTTCAAGTATTTTACACAACTATCTAAATTGCCTTAGTATCAATTGTTCCCTTAATAAGTGTTCTGAGCTGATAACAACTTCTTCAAATTATGAAGCTTCGAGCTTATCCAGTTTCGATAACTAATAGTTATTTCAAGCCTTTTCCACAATCTGCATATTACGGATAGTATCATGTTCGATTAAATCGATCGTACGAATGGAATGTGCGCGCGATATAATTGATAATTTTATTGAAAACATTAATACATTTTTATACTTTTTAAATTAATTGTGCATAGATTTCGTTACAATAAACGCACAAATAATTGCTAAATAAATAATTTTCTTGGAAACGTTCTGTTTTCTCTATTTTAGAAGGTTTAAAGTTTTTAATGGGCATTTTTTTGTTTTTTTAAGACACTAAACCGTACATAAAGGAAGTAGTTAATTAATTTTTTATATGAAACAGAATAAATAATAATATGTATATTTAGATTTTCACAATGATGTTATACCAAAAATAAATACAATGGTTTTTTATGTAATAAAGATTTTTCATATCATTTAAATGTAAATATTGTCGTTACATAGAATGCATTCATCTGCTTTATTATACATATACAATTTTTATTAATATACATACATATATTAATTAAATAAGATGAGCATTTAAGTAATCGTACAAATAATGGATGCATTCTTTGCAGCACTCGATTCTTTCTTTTACATTTATTAATCCATGTTTTTTTTCTTTCTTCTAAAATTAGTATCTTTTCTAAAATATAATCTAAAAATACAAAGAAAAAAATTTTGTAAACGATAGTAAGTTAATAAAAGATTTTTCCATTTTCAAAAGTACACTTTTCAGTGCAAATTTGACAATTAATTTCGAGTAGCAGAAACAACATTTCGTATCTCTGTGTTAACGCAACATAAATAATGCGGTCGAGAGCCGGGACGGTAAACATATCTGCTAATGTATAGACAGACATGTGTGAACAGAAATCTGTCGCAAATTCTCTCGCAAACTGCTGATCGTGCGAAACGAGGATTCACCGAGGTCAAATGGGAATAATTTGATATCGGGTAAGTGAACTGATAATATTTTTTTTACGATAAAATTATCGAATTATTATGAAAACAACACATTTATAAAAAATGTGACAAATTTTTTAAATTAATAAGGAAAGTAAACATATGCATATAAGATTTAATTTTTTCAGGAAATTGTAAAAAAATTATCGCTTTGAAGTATTTTGTTCTCTCGGTCTATAGAAGACTTATATTTTTATTTTATATTTTATTTATATATTATATTTTTATACATTTTTAATTTTTATTTTATATTTTTACTTTTGCTGTCGAAATTTGTTTAAGCAACTCGCATAAAATTGATTTCGGCAAAAATGCGGGAAAAATAAATAGCTTAATTTAAAAAATTGCATGCAGAAATTAGCGTGTACTTACGCGATGGGTCGAAACCGGTGATGAAATTCGGGCAGGGTGCATAGACAGTCGATCCCGCTCGAGTGCTCGGCCAACAGGACCAGCCATCGAACGTGAGTCGACAGTACGGTTCTGAAATGGAAATTCGAGCAGGCAATTAATACGACATATAGGGATGATGTGGTTCGACGAGCTCGTAAAAGGGTTTGCTACAATTTTGACAGCGCGCCGTGATTAAATCTCAATATATATCTCTGTAAGAAATTGCGAGGGATGATACAGCGGTATCGCGCAAAGGAAAATATCGCTATGTCAATTGGGACTGGGATAAATTGAACGAATCTTCCCTGGGGGGTTCTTTACGACGCTCATAAAGAGACGCAACGCGCGATATATTACTCATTACTGATCACCAGAGGACTAGAAATATATGTCGCATGAAAGATGGGCGTATGAAAGATATATATACAATCTTCCTATCAATAACTGATGAATAATAGATTCGAGTCTGCTTGTTTGCACGTTTATGTTTGTATTTTTACGAGTTGCCGTAAGTATATGTAACATAAAACGTGAAATTTTGCGATACATATTTCATAGGAAGCATCGCATATAAAATAACAACGTCGTAATGGTTCACTAAGCAATAATCGATCTCAATTTCGTGAAAAGAATTCAAATTCAATAGGTTAATATATTCTACAATATATGTATACATAAATTTAATTATGCAATATAATAAAAATAATTTTAATTAAATATTATAATAAATTTTTTTTAATTGTGAAATGTCTGTACATTTATAATTAAGACTCATAATTGAAATTTTCTGCATCGTCTACGTCGTGTCGCAAGATGATATATTAAGTACAAATATAAACATATATTTTTTGTAAATATACGAGGTAGTTATGTAACGTCATGTATAAAAGATGAACTAACTTTCTTACTCCTTGTTGCATTAATGCAAAATCACGTTTAAGGGATACTATCACGGTTGCGGAGAAAGTTCGCATTTGCTCGCAAGCTTCAAGTCTCGACGAAGAGACGCTGATAACACGGATTTCATTCGAGATCTCTCGCAATTTCGCCAACTTTTATTGAAAATAAATCACCCTCGTTCCTTCCTCGTGTAACTAGCCCGAGAAAAAGGTCATAATATTACCGATTCGGTGAAACCGACTGAAAGAATGAAAAGAAAAGCTGTATGGAAAATTTTCCCTTCGAGTTCCACGAGAGAAGCGAAATATAACCGTGCAATTTACGAAGTTAATGTTGCGGAAATAACGAAACCCACGCTTTTCGAGATCAACGTTTGCGTCTTCATATACGTTGTAAAAATTACGTCCATTTGTACTCGCCACTTAAACATTTATATATCAGCGCAGAGTATTGTGCATATTACGTGCAACAGATCTCGTTTTAGCGAATATCTCTCTCACGTTGGGAATTATTTCGAAGTGTACATATTTTGGAAACTCGCGTAAACCTCCGTGGTTGATGGAACCGCTTTTAGATACGATCAAAGAGAACAGCCTTATGTATCGACACTCTCAAAAATTGTTCCAAACAGAAAATCTCAAATAGTTTGAAATATAAAATAGCTGTTAAATAGCTCTGCTTGAATTTGTAATTTATGATAAAGTGAAATTTAATAAAAGATAATAAATAATAAATTATTTATTCTTTAAATCATTTCAAACAGATTTTACTTTGATGAAATTTTAATTTAAAATGTTTAATTATTTTTAAGACTGAAAGGAGTAAAAGGTTCAGAGTAATGTTTTACTCAATTTTTGCTGGATCAAAGATGATCATGCAAAATTGTTGAAAGAAATCTTGGAAAATATCTTGGTAACCATATTTTTTTTTTATAATACTTGAGAATATATTTGCGAACGCGCGAAAAGAAGAAAATTTCTAAAAATTTCACTTTTATATTGTCATAAAATGCAGGTAGCTGTAAAGTGTATATTGAGGTTCAGGCAATCCCAACTTTACTTTACATCATATTTGTATATTACGTACTTACATGCCTGTGCATAAAAAATACTTTCATGAAAAGAAGTTTTTTTCATCGTGTGACAACTCTAGCAAAAAATCGCGAAATTTATATGAAAATAGAGCTTTCTAAAATCTATAAAGAACAAAATGTTTATTTAACATGAAAATATAACATTTTATAATAAATATATGTGAATAATAATGATAATTTGGAAAATCGAAGGTATGATTGATTAAACGAAATAAAGATGATTTTGTTATATATAATGATAATATTCTTCTCCTATTATAATAAAATAATAAATAAAATAAAAATTATAAATAAATATTTGGAAAAGACTATTTTCAAGAAATTTAAACATCGATAATTCGCAGCAATTCGTTAATTATATAATTACCTAATTTATTGTATTTATTTTTTTATTTATTTAGTTTTTATTAATTTTTAAAATTGCGTCTCTAAATGCACAATAATATATAAACCGCTAGACGAAAATTATAAAGAAAGTTACATACAAAGTCAAGCGAAAATCGTGTTCGATATGTAAGTTTTTAAAATGAGTTTTGACAGAAGGTTCAAGTCCATCACGCATGATAATTTAACGCCGGAGGCGTACGATTCCACCACCACTTCCTTTCATTATGATGTATCTTGCTCTGGCGGGAGAACGGTCAGATAGCTGTGAAAGATTCACGACTGACAGTGCAGTTGTGAGAGATATTTTCTCTGCGAACGATGAGCGTCTGACAATGAGCGACATCTAGAAGCGCAGTTCGCCTTATTTTTCGTCAACAAGTGCAAGTTGTTTGCTGCTTTAACTAACAGTGAGTGATATTGGCAATTTTCTTTATTTGCCTAATTGTAATTTGGTATCATGTATGGTATCTGTTACAAAACATCAATAATAAAGAGGTTTTTGAAGAAAGAAAAAAAAGTAGAAGCATGTGCGCACATCAGACATTTATACACAATAGTTATGTCATTGAGTCTCCAATTTATATATACACAGAGAGAATTTTCTCTTAAAATTTACCCTGAAAATCGTGGGACAATATGGTATTGGAAGAATTTTATAAGAGTTTTTCTGATTAATATTTATCATGATTTTCAGGGTGAATTCTAAGAGAAAATTATTTCCGTGTACTAATTATGGAAAAATGCAGCTTCAAAAATTAATTTTAAAAATAAATTCTATTCGTAAATTTTAATAATTATCTTGAGATAAAAAAAAGTTCGCATTTAATATCTTGATATGACAGTATAATTTTATAAAATTATAAGACATATATATAATTGGAAGACGAAATAATTATCAAGGTGAACCGTTGGTATTTATAGATATGATTCATACATGTTTAACGTACAAAGTTAAAATATCATGAGAGACCGACAAAAATGTCTTAAATAGGAATTAATAATTCTGTTATATAATTTCTATCTAAATAACATGTATTAATCTTCTGATCAACGATTATTTAGTCATAAAACAAATTAAATAAAATTTTTACAGTTTAAAGTTTTTAACAATGTAGCTTTTTTTGAATATTCTATAGATTAATGAGCGTCAGAAATAACCCAGAAATAAATGATCGATGACAATGATTCGTAAATTCTCATAATTATCAGCTTATCATAATTTAACATATACCATCACACAAGCGAAAATCTTGATTATCATATACATTATACTAACATTCAGATTACACTGTAATATTCGATCGGAACATTATCTCTCAAATACAATGCAATTTATGAAATTTTATCGCAACTTTTCACCACAAAATGATGTGTCATCTTGTTGTTATATTGATTAACATTTTTTTCAGAGAGTGCAATTCATCGTTGCAATTGGCTAGCTACTACGAGCTACTTAAGTAGAGATTACGTAAGAATTGCGTCAACAAATTGAATGTAACGCGCCGTTAAACGTGTTAGAACCGTGGCGACCATCAAATCAGCATGAAGCTACTACTGTCGATCTTTCTCGCGATCCTGACCTGGGAGCAGGTAGTTAATGGCTACCGGATTCTGGGATTGTTCCCATTACACGGCAAAAGTCACTGGGTCATGCAGGAGGAATTGATGAAGGGCTTGGCGAAACGGGGTCATCAGGTGGACGTGATTACGCATTTTCCGCTGAAGAAACCGATACCCAATTACACGGACATTAGCCTGGCCGGCAGTATGCCGCAAGTTATGAACAATCTTTCATATGAAGATATCAAAGGATTCGCCAACACGAACATGGCCAAGTTGGCTTTCATGGGAAATTCGCTTTGCGAGCTGATGGATCATCCGAAGTTGCGACAATTGATCGAGAATCCGCCGCAAGATCCTCCTTACGACGTCCTCGTTACAGAGGTACTTACTACTTTACGTGATAAGAAAATTTTCATGACGTTGAACCCCGGTCGAATCTATATTAAAGCTTCCGCGAGGCTTTTCCAAGATTTTGTGCGCTTTTCTCTTCAGATGTCAGATATTATTTTATACTTCTTGCAGTTTTCGAATTCTTAACACCGTAGGATCTTTATAAGTAAGCTTCTGATTTCTCTTTCAGTAAAACTCGCTTGACATTAAATGAACAGAGTAAAACCCCATTAATTATTCGCGCCTCAAGCGCTTAATTTGCGAAAAAAGCTTTTTTTCTTCATCTTTTAGAACGCAAAATTGTTTGATATATTGAGAAGAGATTTTGACATGTTTAGTAATAAATAGTTAATCTTTTCACTTATTGAAAAAATCTATTCGGTAGAAGAATAAAAAGATATTTCGTGGTAAAGCGTTTCATTTCGATAAATATACAATATATTGATAAAAGAGTTTGATTGTTTTTCGATGAAACAGAAAATTACTGGTTAAATCGACCAATATTCCTTTTAATGCAACACAAATTTTCGTTAGCACAATCAACTGATTTGTTGTGCAACCAAGAGTCTTATTGCAATAAAAGGAATTCTGGTCGATTTAACCAGTAATTCTCTGTTTCATTGAAAAACAATCAAAATCTTTTTTTCAGTGTAGAATCAATTAACGTACATTTTATGTTTTTATTCACATTATCAATGTTTTACGTTATTTTTTTATAATTATCTTTTATAATTATAATTATCTTTTCTAATTATTGTTTTCAGAAGAGTTAAAGAAATAATAATTGGCGCAAAGAAAAAGATAGTTTAACATAACAAAATCAGTAAGTTATCAAGAGTTAATATTTTTTATATATATATATATATATATATATATATATATATATATATCAATAAATTTTGCATAGTATGCAAAAAAAATAATTCAGAATCGATAACATTTTTTTATCGCACAAATTATGTAAAGACAAAAGACGGAGAAGAAGACTGGATTTAATCAGGTAATCATTTAATTAAAACTTGATCATTTAATCAAGCTTTAAAGCTTAATTAAATGATAATTTGATGAAATTCAGAGATATATAGATATATAATTAATAAAGTTGAATAAAACGTGGTTAGTCTAAAGGCAAATATTACTTCGTTAAATCAAAATTATTACAGCTTTTAATGAGCTGTTAATTAACTGACTCGTGCTACATCCTGTAATATGGCAAGGCTCTCATTAATTGTTAACTAATTATTAAATATTCATGATAAACCACAAACAATGGTAGTTGTTAGATGTTATTAAAATTGCAATATTTTAGTGCAACAAGGGAGGAATAATTTTCGACGGAGAAAATCTTGCCCCAATATATCTATTCATAATAATGACGATATTAATAATAATATTATTAATAATTTTAATAATATTAATTATTATTAATAAATAGAGTTTGCTTTAATAAAATTTATGACATCGCTTTCTCCTCTCGACAAGTGTCACGTCTTGTGACGAGTTAAAATTATTATTTAGAGGTCATCGTAAAATGATTACTTCAACTGCTCTTTTACAATCTAATAGATATCGATGTACTGAGCTGGGGATCATGTCCCAAAATAGACGACATCGCGAGAGATTTGTTATCAGAACTCGATTTATGACAATGCAGTTTTTGTGATTGGTTTTTGCATATGACTTTATATTTGTATAATGATTTCTAAAAACTGAGTTTGCTAAAACAATCTATAAATTCGAAAGTTTAATATATTTAAGAATAGATTCATACATTACGCAACAATAAGTCGATTATATACTATAATTTTACGTCAACTTATAGATGATGATGTAAAAATTGAAAACACCTTGAAAATGACCCGTGATACTTTGTACGATTACGCGCATGTTGCGTCACATCATGCTATTATCTTTTAGATAACAAATATTTTTATTAAAACAGACTGCATCTAATTCATTAAATTTATTAAATGTGATTAATTAAATTAATTAATTCAATAATAATTTAATATAATAATAAATTACAAAATAAAAAGAATATCATTAATCAATTAACATTATTTTTAATTTAATGTAATTATATATTTATGTTTATTAAATATTAATCTAATAAATAGCAAATTAGGGGGTTGTAAGGTCAAAAATAATATTATCGCTCTTATATGAAAAGTCTATTCGTTTCCCTGGTTGCACCGTCTTACTTTTCGCGTTTAAAATATGATTATCCATTTGTATATGCAGATATTATTCAAGAATGAAACAAAGAAAATGCAACTATAACGAGCTAGATGTAATGACACGTGAAATTGCGCCGAGCTCGATATAATAAAACGAGACCGTTTAAATCTCGACATGACTTGTATGATACTTGTTGCGTTATTCAATTTACCTCATTCAACGATTCATATCACGGTATTTATAGGCTTTAACGAGGTTATATGTACTGTTGAATTTATATTCACGAAATTCGATAAATCTTGTTGCCAAAATAAATCACGCGTCAAGTGACACCTCCTTTTTATGACAAGGAATCTTGGATCCCGATATACAGGGTCTCTGACAGGTGTCACACCGAAAATATACAAGTAGATCTTGTTATTTGGAGACAATTTTTCCTCAGCAAATACTGAAGTTTCAATAATTTTTTATTTATAAGCGATTAAAAATAAAGGGTTTCTCGCAAATTAAGCCTTGTGGAAGTAAAATATTAACAAAACCACATTCTCCAATTAATTTCAAATAGAATTATTTGCTTTAATAAAATTTTAATTTAAGGTTTAGTTATATATAAAGATACATGATAGCAAAAATTGGGAACGTGCAAAAAATGATGGCCTTCCTCGACAGTTTTGCTGAGAAAAAATCGTCTCCAAATAACAAGACTTACTTGTATTTTTTCGGTGTGACATCCTGTATATAGCATTACATAATACTTAGTAAGAAGACAGGAATGTACTCGTACATCTATTAACGCGCGCGCGCGCGCGTTAAATATGGCATCTTTACGTATCAAGTTCCTTCTTGGAATATAATATGATCATTAATTAATATGATCATTACGCCTTCCATCTTGCCACTTTACAATGTAGGTTCGTCATGTCTTTTTTTTCTCATTATCACGCGTAGTAACGTGCCATATAATGACATCGCTTCTTCTCTCCGCAAGTGACACGTTTTGTGACGCGTCAAAAATGTTGTTGACTTACATTACAGGCGATTATTAACATAATATAGCTCAACTACACACTACATTGTTAAATGATCGCGAATTTTCGCGCTGCTGACTGTGTCTGTTTTTTATCGACAAATATTATTTTTATTTAACTATTTATTGCTTACACAGAATGAAAAATCCTTTATTAGAATTAAAGTATATTAAAGTATATTTATAATAACAAATCTGGGCTACTATATATGTATATTTAAAAAACCCAAGAAAGTTAAATAATTACAGTTTTCTTATCAGTTAGGTTATTAGGATGATCTAAATCTAATGCAAAAGACCGATAAGAAAACTGCAATTATTTACCTTTCTCGTTTCTTCTTGTACACATATTTAGTGACCCAGATTTCTTATTAACTTGACTAAACCTTTCAACTAAATTACTATTTTCTTAATTGATCATATATAATATTAATTAATATTTAATGGTAAGTCAAATGTACGTTTTGTTAGTTTTAATATGTTACATTTAATTAAAATATTTTTATACGTTCAATTAATAAAATAATACTTAGTTGAAAGATTTAGTCAAGTTAACAAATTTTTTTTCAGTTTTATCGACAAATATTATTTTTCTTTAACTATTTATTGCCTACACAGAATGAAAAATCCTTTATTAGAATTAAAGTATATTAAAGTGTATTCATAATAACAAATCTGGGCTACTATATATGTATATTTAAAAAACCCAAAAAAGTTAAATAATTACAGTTAAATAATTACAGTTAGAAACAAAGCGCGAAGCTACGAAAAAAACGAAAAAATTGTTCTTAATTAAAAAATAAAATTTTCTTTTGTTTTCGCCGAACGATACGAATAATTGATCGATGTGGATGAAAAAATGTGTGTGTCTCGATTTTCACAGCTGTTCATATCGCCGTGTTATCTGGCCTTCGCTCGTCATCTCAAAGTCCCGGTGGTCGGCACGGTCGCCAGCGTTTTCCACGACTGGCTAAACGAGGTGTCCGGCAACCCGTCGAATTTCGCCTACGTCCCGAGCATGTTCTCGATGTTCACTCAACAGATGACCTTCAAGGAGCGACTGATAAACTTCCTGTTGTCGAACTACATCTCCGCGCAAATGCATTATTACACGAATGTGCAACTGGAATACGTGAAGAAACACTTTGGCAGAGACGTGTCGAATATCAAGGAACTGTACAAAGACGTATCTTTGTATCTCGTCAATACCCATCACTCGTTACACGGAATTAGGTCAATGACGACTAATGTGATCGAGGTCGGCGGTTTGCATCTCAAGGACGACGACCCGCCGTCGCCGGTATGTTTTCACGAAGATTGCTCTTTCCGGATTCATTTATTAGGTGTTATATATTCGTACACGGAAAAAAAATTAGCTACCATAGGTAAATTTTAGCTGTCTATATATTACACATAAAATTTAGTTATCATGCTTAAATTTTAGCTATGACAATTAATATTTTTTAGCTATAACATTCTCCGTTAAGCTATGGCTAAAAAATATTAGTTACTGTAGCTAAAATTTAGGCACGACAACTAAATTTCAGGTTGTAATATATGGACAGCTAAAATTTAGCTATGGTAGCTAATTCTTTTTTTCCGTGTACACTGAAAAAGTTTTCTTTATTTCACTAAACCTTTCAACTAAAGATCAATCAGAATTAATATTGGACGCTAGTGGTGAAAATAAACTTGGCAAAATTGTTTTCGACGTAACTAGCAATTTTATTCAATACTTTCACGACGTTTCGATCATTTGGTTGTCGTTGACGAAACATCATAGCGATGGGACGGGTTCCTCTTTTAACTATTAATTTTAAATAAGATCGGTTTTATGTTGCGTTAATCTCATTTTAATTGATGGAATTCTCACTTGATAAGGACCACAACCAAATGGTCGAAACGTCGTGAAAGTATTGAATAAAATTGCTAGTTACGTCGAAATCAATTTTGCCAAGTTTACTTTCAACTAAAGTACTATTTTGTTAATTGAACATATATTAGTATTTAATATATATTTAATTTAAATATTTTTATGTTCAATTGAGAAAATATTTAATTGAAAATTTTAGTTAAGTTAACCAATTTTTTTCAGAGTACAAAGCGTGTTAATTCTTCCCGCTTATAACGAGATCCAATAATAGATTTTTTTTTAATTATAAATACATTCCACCTATATCCTCGCTCTTTTCATTCAAAGCGCCGGAATAAAAGAATAACTATATAAGTAAAATAATTATCTCGTAGAGAGAGAATGAAATTTACTGCTCAAATAAGTATAATTAAAAATTGATAATTAAGAGAAAGAAAATTTATGTTAATAGATTTCAATGAAATGTTAAAATCTATATGTTTTATTTTTTTATATGTAATATTTATTACATTTAATAATATTATATATTTATATAATATTATTATGTATTTATTGTATGATTTGCGCATTGATAACGAATGAGCTGTTTTGTATTTTCTCTGCCATAAAATTTTCATTAAAATACAGAAATCTTTTTTATTTCGATAATCGTATGTAAATATTTGCGTGTAACAGTTACAATAAATATAAAACGATAACTGATGAGTGTTTCGCCATAAATTTCGCGATGTCATATATTTCGAAATATTACGTTAGGATGACTTATCGCGAACTACTTCCTCTAAAATAAGTTTATACACGTGCAACTTTATACCTTGCAGGAAGTGCAAAAATGGTTGGACGAAAGCAAGGACGGCTGCATTTACTTTACGTTCGGTTCCATGGTGAGGATCGAAACTTTCTCTAAAGAATTGGTCCAACAGATGTACAATGCTTTCGAGAAGATCGCCCCGGTTCGCGTGCTGATGAAAGTCGCGAAGAAAGAAGATCTGTTGCCAGGATTACCGAAGAATGTCATGACGCAGTCTTGGTTTCCCCAGACCCGTTCTGTATGATTTAATTGACACACATAATGATAAGATCTCATTTAATTGATTTAATTTTAAATAATGATAAACCGAGTAATCTTTATTAGAAACATTATTTGCGATTAAAAAATTATGCGCTTCCGATCTGCACCCTGTAATAGCATTCTGCATGGAAATTGAGTAATCTCAATAAAAAAAATGTTATTTTCCGACCAAATTTTCTCATAAAAATTTTATAATTTGTAATCTCTGTTTTCTCGCATAATGCAGAAATTTCAAACCGAGAGAAAGGAATTGCAAAATTTTAGCTATTTATATTAAAAGGAAAATATTATTATCAGTTGAAAAGAAAATATTTGTACCGCATGTTTTAGAAAAAAAAAACAAAGAAAATTAATGTTTCACAAAAAATCATGTATTTTATGTGTCGATAGGAGTCGAATTTCGAGAAATATTCAAGCACTTTCGAAATGATATTTTTTTCTCCGGAAAATAACAATGTTGAAAAATCCTTTATTTGTTTGTACGAAAAGATTTTCTCGGCTTTTAATGGAAATTTCATCGGTTGTTTTGCGAATTGTGCATTTGTTGGACGCGTCCGATCGCGATAATAGAAGAATAAAAAAAATGAATATTTATAAATTCCGCAGAGCACAAAAACATACGCGCTTTCATTACGCACGGCGGCGGTATGGGAACACAAGAGGCGATCTATTGCGGAGTGCCTATGATAGGTATCCCCTTGTTCGGCGATCAGAGCATCAATATTGAAAATTACGTCAACAAGAAGGCGGCTATCTCGCTCGGGTCAATACATGAGGTTACAGAGGAGAAATTAACTTCGGCATTAAATAAGATCTTGAAGGATCCCACCTATCGGTGAGTAACTATGAACATTGGAACTTAAGTACTTAACAATCCATTTATCGTAACGTGTTCGACCTAGATTAATGAATTCATAACATTGATCGTGACGATACGCACACACAAGAATAAAGTTCAAATTTCGTTAACTCATATAGATAATTGATATATTTTAAAAATTGCACAAAAAATGTTATTTTCAAATAATTATCATATAATAAAATTAGATATATATATATATTTTTTTCAATTTTATTTAATTTTTTCTTATAAATGTGCGTTCTATTATATATTTAGCTTTATTCATGATTAATCTTTGATCAATTATTTTAGCTCTTGTGCTTGATAACTTTATTACTGATTTATGTCTTCCAAAAGTAAATTAATTTTGTTTAATGAAGAGAACTTTACTTAGAGTTAACGTGATAAAATTGCGCAGCTTCGCAGTTACACGTTGAGAGGACTTGAAAAGTCGAGATCCAGAAGCTTTAAATCTTATTAGCTTGTGCGTATCGATCCACGACCGGTTGAATGTATAACGTGGAACGTGGAACAAACAGAGCGTGCCTCCACTATTGTGACCAAATCTTGCTTAACCCTCCAATGCATATCGTGAGTCAATTCTAGTCGATCGGAATGTACCTTAAAATTCCACGTTCGTTCCATCTGCGTGAATCCATAGGAATTGCGCATCAAAATCGAAGGACAAACTTTTCAACTCGCAGGACACGAAGAAAAGGACAAAAGAAGAGAAAGAGATTTATGCTTTTCTTTCTTTTCTTTTAAGGGGATCCTACATGCCGTCCAGTTTTAGAATAATAAATGCTTTCCCACAATTAAAGTACATATAGAAACAAAACGCGAACTCACCGATTTTATGTTAAGAACAAAAAATTTTTAATTTTTTAATTAAAAAAATTATTTTTGATTTTTAGCATAAAATCTGTAAGTCCGCGCTTTGTTTCTATATTCTACTTTTAATCGTGAAAAAGTATTTATTATTCCATTCAATCAATAAAAAGAGAAGAGTGCGCAAAAATGTTTTATTGATAAAACAAGACGATGTTTAAGATCCCCTTAAGATTGAAGCTGTATCTCGCGTCGAATGGATAATCTTCGTAACGCGATTGAAAAAACATTGCACGATTATGCGAATTTTGCTCGTAATTGCTTTTTCTGTAAACATCGCTGTTGCTATATCGATTCCTAACAATGAGCGAGTGTCTATTTCCCTTGCACGTTTCAGCGAGAATGCACAGGAGCTGTCAAGGAAGTTCCTCGATCGACCGACAAGCGCCTTGAACACGTCCATATTTTGGGTAGAATACGTCGCAAAATACGGAAACGTGCTTCAATCACCGGCCCTTAATCTCAACTGTTGGCAACGCAACCTCCTGGACGTTTACGCCTTTATATTTGCCGTCGTCGTTTCTGCACTTGGCATTGTGCTATTTGTCCTATGCAAATTGAAGAACCTTTTGTTTGGATCGCGAAAGAAGAAGGACAGCGCAGCCGCCAAGTCGAAGAAGAACAAGTGAAGAAACTTTCTAGATGTTATTCCATTTTTTTTCACCTTCATCGGGATTCGCGTTTTTTCCGGAAGTATTATTATCGTCAACCTGATATTTTCCCGAAAAATGCGAGCTTTATTCGGGAGCCGACGCTGTTGAGAGCATCAGCATCTCTCGCGTTAGATGCTGTATACCGAACATATTTGAATAAAATATATTTTTAATTAATTACACAGTGCTGCGTGTTGTTTCTGATATAATGCATCATACAACTCGCGTTAATTATCGCGTGAGATGTTGGTCCGCGCATATGCGTTCGACATGCATCGCGTGCATTGCACGTATGCAACACGCCAATATACGTACTTTCATCTCTCTCTCTCTACTCGAAATTAACAACGAAACGTCTAATTTGTAGGCAAAAATCAGATACACGTTAACGTGTAATCACTATTAATCGATCGAGCCACCAGTCGAAGCAAATGAGAAGGGGTTTGGGGGGTTAAAAAAATTCGCATATAATGGGAAAAGCAATTTTTTGTAATTTTCGCTCGATTTTGCTCTTAATAAATATTTAAAAAAAAGATACTTTACCCGGCAGCGGCGTCGTATTCGCGTCTCTCAGCTTCATGCATTCTTGCTCGCGTTCCACTAGAATCCGATGAAGTTCCTCATCGAGCAACGTGCTACCAGCTGTGGTGTTTCCCGCCATCTGTTTGGCAAACAACAGGATAGAATATTAATGAGTTACAATGTGGCAAAAAGTAAGGTAAGTAATAAATGATCGTTACAACAGTTATGGCACAACTTGACTTACTCGCCGTAAGTCAACTTAACGTGCGACACGATCAAGAAGAGAAAACCCAAGTGCTTTAATTTTGATGCTTCGCGGTAGTTAAGCCATGTTGTAGAGAGTAGTCGAAAAAAGTATGATAAGAAAAGATATAAAGATAATTAGCTGAAAATAGCTCTATAAATTATATATCTTATTGTAATTTAATAATAATAATTTCGTAGAATATACAGGGAGAATTTTTTCTTAAAGTTTACCCGGAAAATTATTGTACTCGTGAGACAATATATGATACTGGAAGAATTTATTCGATTTTTTTATTAATACTGATAATTTTCTCTTAGAATTTACCCTGAAAATCATGGTAATCGTGGAACAATAATATATACCCAGATAGCCACCATCATGTCAAAATGCATCATGCCATCAAAATGATTTGACATCAAAGTGATGTCATAATAATTACTGTGGCTATCTGGGTATGGTATTGGAAGAATTTTATGAGTTTATTCCCTGATTAATATTTATTACAATAAAAAATATTAATATGTACATAATAAAATTAATTGAACATATTTTATATGATATAAATATTAATATTTTTTATTGTTGTAATTAAAAATATTAATATCTATTCCACGATTACCATGATTTTCAGGGTAAATTCTAAAAGAAAATTCTTTTCGTGTACCTATAAAATTTGTACCTATATTAAAAAAATATATATATTGCAGAAATATATATTACAGAAAATAAATATAAAATCATCTCGGCTCATAAAATGTAATTTTGCAGAAAAGATATTATAATTATGAATAAAAGATATAATTATGGACAAAAAGATATGTTTACAATTGTTAGATATTATAAAATCAATTGTAAAATTCCATGCGCTGTGTTTCGATTCAACATCATATTTTCATTCCACGTTCTCTCCATATTCTCTCTGCATTCGCGCATGCAATTGCATCAGCTCTCTGTCACGATATTCATTATAACATGGCGAATTCGCCGATTAACATTCGCAAAGGTCGTCATCGTCGTTCCAATATAATATCGTTGCACGACGCGTGATTGCCGCGAAACTTCGCAGAGACGAACGGATATAAATCATCGCCGTCGGCGATGCATTTCGACGCATTATCGAGGAAATCGTTTTCATTTAGATCCGACACGGCCTGTGATAACTTTATTGCATAGAAATGAACATTATTGCATCCGGTCAAAGCAACATCCGCGATATGAAATAACGAGGCGAAACGTTTTACGACAAAGCCATTTAAGCATTACTAGACGAGGAATCGTCCGAGATGCGTATAATGAAAATTTGTCGTACGAATAATCGTCCAACTCCCGAGATTAATTATTCCTGATCGCGCGTCATGGTTGACACTGATTGTGACGGAAAACATATCTAAAATGCAATCTCTAAAATACCTTACGCAACATTTCACAATGTTGAAAAATTAAACCGATAAAAAAATGGTACTCTCAATTAAGTAAAATATTCTTAATTTTAATACATAATATATCATATATTATATTTTATTTTAGCACAAGAGAAAGAAAATTGAGATAAAATTTTTGTATATGCAATACAAAATTTTATCATTTATATCGTATGTATATATATATATATATATATATATAATAAATCAAATATGCATAATTATGTGTGTATTAAGTATTAGCTTGAGATGCGATCGACATAAAAATGTATTATTGGCACGTTTCATTTAACGTCGTAAATAAGCATGTGCCCAGCTGACAGACGTTATCGGTTTTGCAGTGCATATACATTTATTACTCAGCCAACGCAACACTACTCTTATTCATTAATTAATTACTTTGGACGGTTATGCAATGTGTCGCCGCGTATTGGGATTACGTTGCAGATCTAAACGAACAAGAGCTGCTGCTTATTTATGCAACGCATAATTTATTTCATCTAATAAGTAGGATTGTAAACAGACGACATAATAGAAATGAATAATGGAATCCTATAACGGAACATTTATCAAAGATAAATGTAAAAAAATTCCTATTAACATTAATCATGTACATAGTATTACCTATAATTACGCAGAATATATTTTAATAAACGTCAATCGACACATTATTTAAAATAATGACTAAAACAATTATTAACAGTATTAAAAAAATAGAATTTGATATGGCAATTTAAAAGGATTTTAATGCGAAATTAAACGCATAAAAGAACGAATAAAAGAAATAAACGCATACAGTTTATGCATAAAAATATTAATGGAATGGAAACAAAATGCGACATATTCAACGAGAACTGAATATTTTCGATGTAAATTTTTCTCTTACCGCTGTATTTGATTTCATATCACCCGTAAACCATTTTCAAACCGCTGCTCGACAAACACGAGCGACAAATATCGATGATTATTCGCGAAAAATCGGTGTTCCCATATATCTCATACAAACGACACAGTTTCCCCCCTAAATCAAACGATTCGGTAAATAGTGACCCGTCAATTAACATTCAATTAAACACGCGTTCGTTTGCCAGAAGATTCATGAATTTACATTTCGCTGAAATTTCACACCGTGGGTCAAAAAAAGCTTGCACGCGCATTTATCTATACATCGCTGTATAATACTTCACGGAAAGTAACATCACACCGTCATTTGAGTGAAACGGGATATTCAATGCGATGAACGTATGTATACATACGTATATGTAAAAGCGCCGTTTGCACTTTTAAAATTAATGCGAAATAAAACAAGATGCGTGTTAATGATTTTGCAAGTGACTGTGAAAAATACTTGAGCGCGCGAAAGTATTGCAGAATAGTTATACAAAAGGAGTTATGTTTTTAAAAGTTTTTAAAAAGTTTTGCACAGCGTCATTGTCGATTTTCAAAAGAATCGAAGCATTCTGCGCGATCGTCACGTATTGTCGCATTTTTATCGAAATATCTTATTACGCGAAATAAGAGAGAAAAACGGATACTTGAACGTTCGGACATTTAATTTTTTTATTGTAAATGTGTGCGCTACGTTAGAAAACGAAAAATAAAAAAAAGCAAAGCAAAACGAAAATAAAATTGAGCGAGATCAAAACCGAAAGTAACAAGATTTCGACGTTGAATTATGGAACGGAGCTTCTCTATTTTAACACTGGTCCAGCTGCCTCACTAACTCAATCCCGAGGCAATCAGTTCTTTTTTTATTTTTTTAAAGCTTTAATTTTTTACCGAATATTTTTCACGCTAAATATAGTCAATCTATTTTGAATTTCATTTCAATGAATATCGAATAAACAATTGTAAATTGCGAGAGTGGTTTTGAATTTAAATCTTTTTTATTTTTAACGCAAACAAATGTATCTTATTTCCTGACAATATTCATATTAGTGCCATATTTAGGCGAATTAAATTTGAGAAATCGCGAAATTAAAAAAAATTAAACACCCATATTTATTAAGTGATAAGAATATAAGCTTCCATATCTCTCTTTTTACGTTTCAAGATAACAAGCCTCGTCCAAGTAACATTGCCTATAACCTTAGAACGTGTACAAGAATTTGTTACGAATACAATACGTTTAGCAAATAATAACCTGTCGTCGTTGCAGAACACATGTAGAGGCATATGTTCTAAAGAGATCACGCTCTTACATTATATGTCAATACTATCTACGTTTATAGGTAAGACACAGTCTAGCACGTACACGATAACTGCGATAAAGCTCGTGTTGCTATTATTCTCGTGTTGAAATTATGAACATGTATACGAAAAAAAGTTAAATATGATTAAAAAATGATCAATGTTTTATATAATAATTAATATTTAAAAAGTGATTATCACACGCAACCAAATGTCTTCATGCATCCTTCAAATAAATATTTAATAATGTGTATGAATATATTACGTATAATTATTTTTAAAAATATTAACTTTTCAGATTTTTTACAAGAATGTGATAGAAATCTAATTTTGATCTACACAATTAAAATTATTATAATTTTTATGAAAGCACAATGCTGAGATATATCACATATATCTATAGAAATATTAATTAATATAAATATGTGATATTATATATTATATAGATATTCCAAGTATTTTAAAATAAAATCTGAAATATTTTACATGTGCACAAATTATGAAATAATTAAAAATGTGAATAACACGGAGATAAATGACCAGTTAATTTCACGAGACAGATATTTAATTTCTTAAATTATTCATCCTTCATATTGTCGTTCAGGATCTTTGCTTTCTTCCTCGTTCCTTCATAACATTCGTGAAAACATTGTTTAATTACTTAAAATCGCGCGCTTTAATTACTTAAAATTCCAATAATGAGTAAAATGCAACATTTGCATTCACTTAAATTTCATGCGATGCCTATTTTATGTTATATGTCGCGATGAGAAAATAAATGTGAAAGTTATCGATCCACTAGAAAATCATACGGGCCAAATTGACGCACCATTCGCCGCGGCTATTTCTGTTAATAAAATAATGTATGCTTGCATTTTAGAGAAATATTATTATTTCCCTTTATAATATAAGTGAATCAATATACAAATTAAAATAAAAAATAAATATACACATATAAACGAGTTAAATATTCGAAAATATATATAATAGTTAAATTTGTGCGTGCGACAGATTTTTCAATTGAATAAATCTCGTACGCGTTTTTTGACAACAATGCAATGATTTTTCAACGTGACACGTCGTTGATAATAATTAAAATTTTATTAATATAACGCCTAATTTTATTAATTATATTTTTATTAAAATAATTAACGCTTATTTTTATTAATTAAACGCGTCACGATCGATTCAAAGCCGATCAGCGGTTTACCCGGGACATTTTGTTAATAACCAAAAAATACGTAAATGACATCGACATCTTTACCACGATATCGCGTGATA